CTGGACCCACACCTTTCTCCACTCACAAAAATTAATCCAAAATAGATAAAAGACCTAAATTTCAGGTATGAAACAATAAAAAATCCTCAAAGAAAGCATAGAAAAAACACTGGAAGATCTCGGCCTCGGAAAATACTTTATTGAAGAAGACTTCTGTGGCATTTGCTGTGAGCTGTGATGCCACGACACTTAATTAAATGGTACTTAATGAAACTGAAAAGCTTCTGTACAGCTAAGGAGACAACCACCAAAGCAAACAGACAACTTACATAATGGGAAAGGATAATTGCATATTTTGAATAAGACAACAGCTTGATAACTAGGATCTACAAAGAATTCAAATTAATCCACATGAAAAAAGCCAACAATCCCACATATCAATAGACAAGAGAGATGAATAGAACCTTCTCTAAAGAAGTCAGATGAATAGCTAACAAACATATGAAAAAGTGCTCATCGTCCCTAACTATTAGAGAAATGCAAATCAAAACTATTAGAGAAATGCAAATCAAAAACCCTGAGATATCATCTAACCCCAGAAAGAATGGCCCACATCACAAAATCTCAAAATTGCAGATGCTGGCGTGGATGTGGAGGGAAGGAGACAGTTTTACACTGCTGGTGGGATTGTAAACTAATACTACCTTTTTCAAAGGCAGCATGGAGAACCCTCAAAGAACTCAAGCTAGACCTCCCATTTGATCCTGCAATCCCATTACTGGGAATCTACCCAAAAGGAGAAAAATCCTGTTACTATAAGGACACTTGCACTAGACTGTTTATCACAGCTCAATTTACAATTGCCAAAATATGGAAACAGCCTAAATCCCCACCAACCCATGAATGGATTAACAAGCTGTGGTATATGTATACCGTGGAATACCAAGTTCAGCCATTAAAAAAGATAGGGACTTTACACCCTTTGTATTAACTTGGATGGAAGTGGAACACATTATTCTTAGTAAAGCATCACAAGAATGGAGAAGCAAGAATCCTATGTACTCAATTCTGATATGAGGATAATTAATGACCTAGTACATGGTAGGGGTGGGAGAAGGGGAGAGCCGAGAGAGGGAAGGAGGGAGGAGGTCGGAGGGTTATGGTGTGTGACACACCTTTTGGGGGCAGGGCACAATTATGAGAGGGACTTTACCTAACAAATGCAATCACTGTAACTTGGTTTCTTATACTCTCGATGAATCCCCAACAATAAAAAAAGAAAATATGTACATATATTTTCCTTGGGGTTAGCCTTTAAATAAAAATATTGTACTGGATTCAGGAAATCACTATGTAATTTGAAGTTATTATAATATTTTATCATAATAGTAATGAGATATATGTGAAGACATACAGCATTTAAATAATATTTAAAACTAACATGGTATAATTACACTAATGCCTTTTAACTCTGTTGTCTAGAAATCAATCATCAAATACATTATAAATTCATGTTTTATCATTGTTACAAGTAATTAACGCTACTAATTTACACTAAACATCATTTATCATCAAAAGGTTAGATTTTCATACTTTGTTGTGTATCCTATTAAAATAATATTTTAAAATTTCCATTAAATATTTTTAATAAAATGATGTACTCTCTGAATACCTTTATTTTGAAAAATGTAGTGATTTTATTTTGGCTACAAGGACACCAAATTTTATATACTAGAGTACTAACTTATACAACAGTGGTCTGGGAAACTAAAACAGTTAATATAACTCTCCTACCATGATTTACTTACTGACTTAACCTGACCCACTTTATCTTCTTGCTCACATAATCCGGCCAACATGTTGAAACATTCTTTACTTAGTCTGAGGGGCTTACCTGAAAAAATACTTAATACGATCTAAAATTAGCCTTGGCAGCTAAGAAGAAATAAAAACCTGGATTTCACACATACACACTTTAAATAAATATATTGAATAACAGTATCATGAATAATTTACCATGGGATGGAAAAAAAGAAGATATTCTCTGGGTCAGTCATTTATATGTGTTAGGATGAAGTTGAACAAAAGCCCTGCATGTCTTATAATACAGCAAGCTAAAAGAGAAATCACTAAACATGTTCAATGATAATCTGATTTAAACCTTGTGTAGAAAATTGTATTTTGCTGTTTAATGAACTGTAAGTCCAAATTAAGTTCAATAATACATCCTAAAAACAGCCTTTTCCATTCTTGGGAGATTTCCTTTTTGTCTTTGAAAGAAAAACATTTCATAGAAACTGATGATGTTTTAATTATGAAAATACTGGCAATTCTGAAAAATAGTTTTAATTTAACTTAGGGAGTAGTATTTCAATTTTATATTTTCTTGCCATCTTAGGAAAAAAACTGTTGGCATATTCAATTTTTTTAACTATCCTAACGCTGACATCTGCTGACAACTGAGGAGAACTACACATCTCCTTAAAACATTTCCTATTGATTAAAGCTTATCTTTGCACCTACTTTATCAAGTAAGGGAAAAAATTAATATTTGTTGATTGATGATTATGTAATGCGCACTTTAGATATTATCTCACTTAATCTCTTAGTAACTTCATAGCATGACCAATATTACAGAAATTATTAAGCCATAAAAATAAAATACTTATCAATAAATGATGCTATTAAACCAATGTTAAAGGCTCATTGGGGCAAATATTAAGACTTTATTGAGACGTTCACTTGAGTTACTGTAAAATATTTTTAGAAACAGTAGAAATGTATTTATTTGAAAGCATTTTTTTTTTTAATTTGAAATAAGGCTATCCACAGGAGACAGAGAGGCTATATAGATAAACTTTGGGTTCAAATCTGAACCCTGCTGCTTATTAGCTAAGAGATCTGAAGCATACAACTTAGCCTCTCTGTGCCTTAATTATCCTATCTTTAAAAAGAAATGGTACTAATTGTACTTACATCATAGGATTTTTATGAACATTATATGAGTTGATATTTGTAAAGCACTCAGAACAGTGCCTGGCACTTAGTAACAGCTAGGCAAGTGTTTTGAGAAATAGTCATAATTGGAATGGCTTTACTATAGTAGGATAAAGGAGATGAAATAAATATCAAATCTCTTTTATTACTTAGAAATACTACTAAAATTATCCCAACATCACCAGCCATTCATTAAGTTTATCTATAAGCAAATATTATTCAGTACCTTCATTCAAGACCCCATAAACTAAAAAGAAGGGGGAGGAAACTTTAAATGATGCAAGAATGTAAACAAAAGTGCAGATGTATAAAGGATTGGGATAAATAAAAACTTTCACCATTTCTGACCAAGGTTCTGCTTACATTAGAATGTCCTTCACTTTTTCTTCATGCCTTTTATTTCTTTATTATCTCTCATTTATCAGGTAATGCAAAGCTCACTAAAAGGACTCAGAGGCTCGGCACCTGTGGCTCAAGCGGCTAAGGCGCCAGCCACATACACCTAAGGTGGCGGGTTCGAATCC